CGTCGCTGTTTAAATCTTGTCCCGAATACGCCGTCCCGGGACATATTCTCAATTCTTCTGACATTTTGACTGGGTTAATGTCCGTGAAAGGAGAAAGCTGAACATTTGTTTAAAAATAATCTTCGGTTAATATATATACATGTATATATGTGTATAAAATGATGCGTAGAACATGCCAAATTTATTCATATTTAAGCTCTAAATTTGCAAAGAATAACGCTCATACCTGTAGGTATTTCGAAAATGAATTCAGACTTTTAAAACTGGACTAGAAACAAAACTGATATGTTCAAAAGATGAGAAATTACTGATATCAAAAGATAAGTGTGAAAAAGTGTACGGTGTATATGTGTAATATGCATTACGTAGTCGGACTGATACCTCCCCCACCCCCACCCCATCCCCATTTCCCACCCCCACCCCCAGTAAAAAAAATCCTTGATTGATAATCATAAATGCAGTTATTTTTGTTTTAAAACTTATTTATTTTCAAAAAAGGTCAAGAGAATAGACACAAAATCTATGTTAATTTAAGTAAAATGAATAAGCTTAACACAGAAAATTTCTTTATTTTGCCCCTTTTCTCAATTATATCCTATAAAGTGATTAAGAAAATGTATAAGCTTATTATGGAGAACAACAAAAAGTGAGAACTTTGAACATCGTAGAAAATCTACATTGTTTTAATATTTTAGAAGGATATTTGCATTATATACAACCAATCTAAGTTTAAAGATTGTATACCAATCCATTCAGTAAGTTTTATTCTGTGTTTGTAGGAAATTAAATGTCCTAAATTTTGAAAATCATGCACAGACTGACAGTAGAAACACACAGTAATAAAAACAAAACAAAACAAAAAAAAAGAATTTATAGAAACAAATTACAAAAACTCATACTAATCCATCTCCTAAAATTCGATAAGGATGTACATGGGAGACCCGTATTTGTACATGTACGCTTGTGGGCTATTTCTTTTGATAAAGGAAAATAGAGTATGAAATTTTACATTGATTATTTTTTGTCTTGTCATAATATACAGCGGATAATAATGGAGTAAGTTTCTGTACACCATGCTTTTCGTTGAAAAAAACTATTTAATTTTTTATTCATGTATTGGATGATTTCCATATATTCAGTTTATATACATGTACTTATCAGAATTAATACAAACTAAATACATGAAGTGCATTGACATACGCTAATGCGCGGTATTCAATTTGTCGGCACATCCAGGTGCTGTTAAACCCAAAATATGAATTCAATGCTTTAATACTTTTCTTTGGAATATTTCTCCATATCCGAGTCAACATACATGCATGTACATCTTTCCCTTCTGTTCTCTCTTTCTTTGGATTATTATAATATTCTATGTGAATTGCAGCTAATAATTTATCTTAAAACCTCGGTGAAGTTTACATGAATTGTATTAGATATACCTTGATCTGTGGAGAGTACAATTATACAAAAATCATAGAAAGCAATGTTGAATAGTTTTTACTCTAGAGAACTTGTCCACGATTTTACCGGACAACCCTCGTACATGTAGGTATTCATGCCTGCTGTTCAATCCCAATTTATGTCACAACGAAATAAAATATTTTAATGAAACTCGTAAATATTTGCATACATGCCGTATTTTATTTAGATATTTGTTCAATTCCTTGAAACCGGACTTAAAAACATCAGATTTTTCGGGCTTGAGCATGATATTCAATCAACCAGCATTTCCTCAAACTCACAATAAAATGTTCAAACGATTATATCTGCTTCTTGTTACTTAAAGGATGTAAATAATGTTTTACTGCAATAAAACTGGCTTTGATTCAAACAGAAGGTCGTGTTAACAACTTGTGTCCCCATTTTAACTTTTTCAGAAACACATAGATTTTCCAGAGTTTCCTGTTGGGAACAAGACAAAAATAGCAATAGTGGGCACTTTAAGGAGGGAAATGGGAGGGGAGGGGGTGTCAGATTTAGATTTGAAAGATGATAAAAGTTGTAAACTTAAAGACGTACAACACACTTGGGGAGATAACTCTTGGGATTTCAATAAAACGTTTAACATAACGTTAATTTGACGTTAATTACGAAGCGACAAAATGACGAGCGATACGATCCCGATATAATTAATGTAAAAAATAGAATAGAGGTTTTTATTGTGGTTTCTTTAGGAATACCAAATCCTATCCTTGATCATTTGCGCAATTGCAATAAATCCCCCCCCCCCTCCATAAAAAAGAAAAAAAAAAGACGGTACGTTCCTTCTTTAATTTGAATTTAGTAAATTAATTCTTTAATATTGTATTTATGATATAGGCCTACACAAAGGCAATGTTTTAATCTAAAAATGTAAATGCTACTCTACATTGCTTTTCCCGTTACAGTCGGCCGCATAACATTGAGAATAAATATTACCGGTATGTCTAAATATTATCATATTATGAAAATAAACATTTTCTTGCTTTTCTTTTCTTTAAAAAAAAAATGAAAAAGAGTAACCGTTTTCAAAAGAAGAGAAACAACTGTAAAAATGTAGAGGTGTATGTCTTTCCTCCACCTAGCTGAGTTATTTCTCCTGTTATCCGAAGAATTATGGGTTTTTTCCCCCTCACAAATACACAGATACATTTACAGTGTGTTGCAAGGAACACAAGAACTGAAAGCCAAAGTTTATACAAATTAAAGTAAGTATCAACAGTGAAAAATTATTTATTGAAATTAATACAACGGTTGCACCCCATTTAGAAATTAAATCTTTTACCGTAAACAGTTTCAGTTCGCATTTCCTCGAATAAAAACAAAACGATTGATACCAATGTAGATGATATTGTAGATGATTCAGGCACATGAATAATTTTAATATTGATAAATAATTTACAATTTGGTACAATTGAAGCTAATATGGACGAAAATATCATTTCCATTTATTGAAACAACAGAAGGATACAATATCCGGGGGGGGGGGGGGCTCTCGTTTGAAAACAGAAATAATTTAAAACCTATACGTACATATATTCCATTTTCATCACAAGAGAGTTGTACATACACCACTGTTGGTTCACTTAAAAAATAATATACAATGCAAGTAGAAGTCATATAAAGGTTTGAAACTGCACCTGTGTGCATGAACTCCAAACCGACACGTGGTAATAAAATCCTTAGATTTTTACTGAATATAAATAAAAAATTAATATTTAGAATAACAAAAAATATTAGTAGTCAATATTTAATCTGTAAACACGAATGAAGGACATTACTTTAGAAGTTCAATATGCCAATTATATATATATATATTGTAGACGTAACCAATGTCTTTTTTTTTTCAAGCTCGAATGTCCTGCATTGCAGAGAATAATTGAGGAGGGGGGGGGGTCTTAAAATTTCAGAAATTGCTTATTCATCTTCATTTAAATGCAGATGTAAAGTTTTATTTTTGTGATAAATATAATGTACATTACATTTTTTAAGTATAAGATATTTTCCAGCTAGGAATTTTTATCTGTATTTGTAGATTCATAGCATTGCTTTCGTCCCAAGTCTGAAAGACGCTGTGAGAAACGTAACTTACGGAGAGAGGGGGAGGAGAAATTTTCCGCTATAAATTCAAAACGCGTCCTTTAAAAAATTTTGAAAAAAATTATCAAGAACATTTTGATCATCAGTTACAAGAAGGTAATTATTTTTTTCAAAATTAAACGACAGATTTTTTCATAAAAAAATATTTTATTTGAAAATCACGCATTTTTCAATGCAAAAATGAACCATAGTTTTTCAGTTTAAATTCTTCAAAATCGTTTTTCTCGAAGTGTACCTCTACAAATGAACTTTGTTTGTGTGTTTAATTATTAAACGAACGATTCGGCAAATTTTGACAGCTAGGCTAACCTTAAATATCTTAAAATAAGGGATTTTATAGTTAGTTGGTTGAAATTTTTTTGTATTCGTGATCAGCCAAAGGGGGGTAACTTTAGGAACTTCCTGTCCAAATTCGGCTAGAACGATTTTGACCAAAATGTATATACACATAGCAGATATTGTAATGTATAAGATATACAAAAATAGCGAAAATTAAACGACAGGAAATTTTTGCGGTAGGTGTGTTGTACATCCTTAATTCAAATATGTGTGAAAGAAAAACAGCCTAAATTATAAGTTTAAGTTATGGGTTTGAAAACAAATTTATTTACACAGCTAAGTTTGTTTAGTCATATAGCTAGTAAACATGTCATTTTAAAAGCAGAGGAGTTTTCCAGAGGTCAAACTCCTATCTATAAATTTATACATCTACGGTCATAACCATTTCTCGGATAAGATATGCAATATTTTTTACTATAGAATCATGTACCTGTCCTTTCAGTAACAGCTACATGTTTTGTAGATTTATATATACATTGCTCTGTTCAACGTACTCTAGATAGAACTAGGATGAGACTCAATTAAATTTTAAATAGTGACGTCTATCTGTGAAGACGTCCAAGGAAACAGTAGATTTTCTGAACGTTATTGCAAAACCTTGCCTCTGACTACCATTTTTTAATTTTTTTTTTTTTTACGAAAACAATCAGAATCATTAATATTATTCATTTTTATAAGATTTTTTCAGAATATCGTTTCTTTGTTTTGATTTTTAAATTCAAGATACATGTATTTTATTCATCTTCGTACATGCAGTATTAGTGTAAACTAAAATCCCTTGCTTTTGGTTCTTTACAAATACATGTACTTGATGTTCAAAATATTCATTTGTTTCTGATGATTCTGAGCATACGGCATACAGGGAATTCTGTATGACAGAAGCTCGAAGTTAATTCCCTCCTTTGGATTACATTAATTAATCATAGAATTTTCTCGAATGTCAAGCAGATGTTTTAAAAACCACCAATTCCATATTATGAAAAACAGAAAAAAAAGACATTAAAATATTTCACATCGTAAACTTGTTATATACACTATGAATGCTTACTGGATACTACATGTATATTATCTTAAAGTGAATAATGGGTCAGTCAGTATCGTAAAACACATTTGTTGGAAACTACATTTTGAATAACATTTTGAGCTACATGAAGTATGACAAGAAGTGAACGGTAATGTTCAACTTGTGTGACGAAACAGATTTTAAATTGTACCAAGAGCATTGAAAGCTTGACATTTGGTCATCTGTAGGATTAAATACAAGAGGGGTATCATAGCAAATTAATTTGTTGATACAACTAACGACTTAATGCAGGACTGAACCATTTCCAAGAAAATTTTCTTCCATATAGAAGGTTTTTATTTTCAGCAAAAGAAAAATGTTCACAGAGCCTGCAAATTATGACATAAAAAAATGTATATAGAATAGTCGTATCAAATAATTTTGTATATCAGTTTCATAGATAAACCATGATACACTTACCAAGAAATTCAGAATGTGCACTTACATGTATAATGGTGGTAATCTCTTATTTAGAAATGCATTAAATACATGTACAGTATATATAGTTTTAATGGCGTAATATGATTTGCGACCATAAATGTTCCATAATGTTTATTTTTCATACAAAAATACTTTACGGGAAATAGTTAAGAAATTTGACAGAATAAATTGTGTGGTTACTGCATGATGGACATCTAGCATGTTTCACAAATTCGAAATCGTAGTTTTTGCTGGATATCATCTCCAAAAGAATTTAATTCACTGAAAAAATATTTTTATGAGTCAGAGTAAGTAACAGTATATTATGATATACGCATGTAGGCATTTAATGATACAGGACAATCTTGTTTCTTTCTTATCCGTTTGTTCATTGGCCCGCTTTAAGTAAATGGTACACCACAAATTGTAAATAACAAACCATTACAGTCTGTCAAATAGGACCATCTGTCTACATTTCTGTCATCTAAAAGTAATTAAAGTTTACCAAATCTTTTAAAGTATATAAGGTCCCCAAACCAAGCCCTCCAATCCATTAATAAGGAGAAAAGTTTCACGTAAGTCTCGTTAGAGGCTGCAAGTATCCCCTTTGAAGGATAATATCTATTTTTGTAGATTATGATCCACATCTCTCATATTAACGTCAACCTCTTTATGGTATATTTTCTTATTTACATAATTACACTGACAACATGATATTCTGTGACCAAGTTGTTTGTTCTATGAGAAAACATTAGAATTTTGATTCGCATTCAGGTATCTCAAATGAGGCATTAATGTGTTTCCTAAGTAGCTGATACAGAATTAAGTATATAAATTTTATTGTTTTTTCAAACAGATTATGTAAAATGGAAAAACGATAGGGGAGTGACAGTATTTTCCCAAACAAATAACAATTATTTCATTATTATATTTTAGATTAGTTGTTTATGTTTCATCAACTTCAAACAAGTATATAACGAAAACATGTACAATGAAACCATAAGAGAAGGAAAAGATATTTGTGGTTGCCATCGTCACTATATAGACCTGATACAGATAATTTGATTCACTACAAATAAAATTTATTGTTATTCTTTTTCTACAAAAGCATGTATATCTTGTCAAAATCAAAAGAACCATTAATATATAAATGTATATATAAGTACCTTTATAGAGAACAATAAAACTTGGATATGGTACATGTACTACATGTATGTGTTGCCCCCTCCTCTTCCTTTAAAGAAAACTGAAATATCTATATCAATGGTTTTGTGTACTATTATTGCAATGGCCTATTAAATATTATTATTATTAGGGATGTCAACGAGTACCCGGTTAACCGGGTACTCGATCGAACGTCCGAGTATCGAATACTAAAAATGGTACTCGGTTACTCGGATGTATATTTTTCTTATTTCAAAGTATATATTTTTCTTATTTCAAAGTATATATTTTTCTTATTTCAAAGTATATATTTTAAACAAAAAATAACTTAAATACGCATACTGTAAATAACGTCTCGTCATCTACACCTGAAAACACCCGTTATCGCCTGTGGCTGTGTATATACAGTAATTAGTGACCAATCACCTGGTGCACAGCTGTTCTCACCTTTTGTTGTCTTTAATTTTTGAATGGCTTCAACGATTTTTTTCATTGTTCATCGTTTATGTATGGTCTATTATCTTTGAATCATTTTTATATACGGCAGCGAAATTGAACATGCATAAAAATGCCGCTACCCACTTCAAAAGTGAAGAAATATTTAGAAATAATGAAAGATTAAAAAAAATGTTGAAAGTCAGTTTGCGTAGTAGGTTTAGTGTATACCGTGGAAACAACCAATATATGAAAAAAAATATTAGACTAGCGATCCCAACAGCGTCCTTCCTTCTCTTTTCCTAGTTTAATCATCACAAACCTGCATAACAGATTGTCCTCCTTCTGCGTTGATCAAAATAATCCTAAACAAGAACTGTAAACTGATTGTAATTTTTGATGTATTTATTGTGTATTTTCGTTGGAATCTATGTTTATATACGTTTGTAAACGTGATAAAAACAGCTTTGGGGTTTGACCGAGCTTAACGTGGCTCAAGAAAATTAACACACTTGTATTAATAAATTTTACATTTTTACCGAGTACCCGGGTACTCGATCGGAAAAACGTCCGAGTAACCGATTATCAAAAATTGAGCGATTTGACATCCCTAATTATTATTATTATTTTTTTTTTTTTTGCGAACTATTCTGTTTGATAGCTAATTGATTTCATTGAATTTCTTTGCAGATCATGGTTACCAGAAAGCTGTGGGAGCGATAATGAACCAGAGAGGACATGGTTTCTTTCGGATAATTCTTGTCTTGTCTTTAGGTAAATCAGAATTTAATCTTCTCTACATTAAACACAAAAACTGTTATAAAACTTTGTTATAGTCTGTTTTTTTTTTTTTTTTTTTTTTTTTTTTTTTTTTTTTTTTTTTTGAAATACGCTAAAAATTAACGATGCTTTGCAGATGACTGTAACATATGCATGAACTTTTTGAAATTTGTTCAAGAGTTAACGTCTTATTATAAATCAATATCGAATGCATACTTGTGGAAATTGTGGCAAAGCCAATTTAATGTACAAAGTAATATATGGGTAAGATTCAAACCTTTAAAAAATGTATTAAAAATATTTTAGTTTTGATTTAAATAAACTAAATTAGAAAATATTGAAATGCAAACGTAGTTAAAAATCGAAATCAAAAACCAATAAAACTTGAAGAAAAATGAAATCCGATAGAGATTCTAAAAATGAAAACCTATAACGTCTACATGTACTTGGTACTCGTTTCATAATACTAGTAATCGAAAATTGACTGATGTCCAGTCGGAGCTCACTTTTACAGATGGTTATGATTAAATGTAGTTTGAAATTCATTTAAAATTTATCATTTACGTAGTTTTTTGATCTTCAACAATTTTTTATTTCATTAAATTTCAGTAAGAACGGAATGTCATAATATTTACTAATAAAATACCGAAGTTTAATAGTCACTACAATAAAGTGAAATTAGTTGTGATTGATAGTAACCTTATATTCAAATGCTCAGCTCTCACGTTGTATACAAGGAACTACTGCTTCTTTATATTCCAGGGACCCAAATCACTAAAGAGCAGCCTTTCCCCGACACTGAAGGATTCACTCAAAATGGAATCCATGACGTAATACCACAGAATACATCGTCATCAAAAACTATACAAAAGGACGATGGATATTACTTAGACTTATTAAACGGGATCTGTAGGGAGGGGTGGGTTAAAGGACGGGTCAATGACGTCACGGTATGTCTCAGGACAAACTCGGATCCAATGTCATGGGAAGATGCACGTGATACATGTAGGAGTGAGTTCTCGTTCCTGATGAAGATGGAAGCACCTGTTACAGTAGAATCCAAAGACCTAGGAGACTACCTTAAAGAGAAAAGTAATTATTTTTGCAGTGTAGGAAAACATATTTAAGCATTTATCAGAGATAAAATTCATTCTTACTAGCAACCCGTAATTGTCAAATCATAACTTATTACAAAGTACAAGCCTTTATACTATATTTGATCCTAAAGGGATAAGAAATATAAGACAAACGTGGCCAATATTCACTCATTTGTAATGTCAATTTCAATGTAACATTCTTTCAGACATTGATCAGATATGGACTGGCCTTCATGAAGAAGGGGGATTTCTTGTTTGGGATGAGATAGCACCACATAAAGTTCGTGCCTATAATGAGTAAGTACCGAAAGACAATATCAGATATGAATGAAAATTGTGAACAGAATCTGTTGTAATTTTTTTTTTAATCCACAGTTTAAAAGACTACTGATAAATAGTTCTCTGTATCATGCAAAAAATCTAAATGTCTTTAATTTTTTTTAATGATTTTCAGCCCTTTGGAGGAAGAGCTGCTACAGCGTCGAATATGGAACTGGAATATCGAGCCCGACGTTAATGACGATATTGATGATAGTGATGATTTTGAATTCCAAGAAGAGGAGAGCCATTCTACTTGTGGATCTCTGAATTTTAACAGACATTATGGGGAACATGTTATATCAAAACGAGCTGTCAACAGAAGTGTAAAAAATGCTAAAAGTTTACATATTGATGATGTATTCGAATCGGATCATACCCCATCACCGACTTCCAGAGAAATCGACAATTCTCCCGACTCAACTAAAAGCCGCCCGCAGAAAGGCAAAATGAACTTATTACAATTCATGCAACATTTAAAACAACTTACCAAACTTAATGCAAGGCGCAGACTGGGAACTGTTCACAGTGCAAATGATAATAAGAAATATGTAAACTCACAGCGTGTTAGGATGACAGAGAAAAATGAAAATGACCAAGAATTCACTACAAATCTTAATGAAGATATAGAACCGGTAAACCCTACTGAGGAGACTGATTTCTTCGAGCGAAGAAAGAAGGAATCTTTTCCAAAACTACCACCTAAAACGCCCCCGAAATTATTTCCGTCTTTCTTTGACAGTTTTAAAGATGACAATTCTACTATAAAGGGTAATGTTGCAGAAAATTTTACGAAATTTGATCAAAATATAGACAACTCAACCAGTGAATCTAGAGTTATCCTCCCTATTCCAACATTCAGTACCAAAGAAAAAGCAAGGGAAGAAGCAAATGTTTATCCTGATGATTATGTTAATTATGATGATTTAATTTTGAATGAATCAAAGAAAAAGTCAACACAGGTCACTGTTCTTAAACCAACACCAGCGACTCCTTATAAGAAAGTGAAACCTGTGCCTACACCACCCACAACAAATCATGGAAAGAGGTTAAAAATGATAAAACCACCACCAGTTAAAGTTAAAACACAACCGAAGTCTAAAAATGTAACCATGGAATCTGAATCCTCAGAGGAAAGAATAAAAATAAAAAACCCTATAGGTATTGCTAAAACATTGGTCAGAAAGAATGCTGGTCAGAACAGAGGTTTAAGTAAAGCTGAAAAGGCGAAAAGAATCACTGACTCACTGGCTACATCAAGTGAAGATATTTCTAAAGAAGATAGCGATGAACTTGATGACTCCTCATCTAATCAAAATACTACGAACAATGTACGAAAGATAACAATTCAAAAGAAAGACGATGCAAATGGAAAGAATTTTGACAAACTACCCACCACCCTCGACATTCCGCCATTGATCGATATTAAGAAACATCAAAGTAAAGAAGCTTCCAAGGATTCAAGCAGACTGTCAGATGAAAGAAAACAGCGACATTCAGAAACAGATGAAGTGGTATCGAGAGATGGAATTGAGTCTGAATCGGAAGAGAGACTGCAAGTAGATACTAAAAACAATAACAATGAACAACTCATGGACGATGAAACGGTAAAGAAAAACGATAAAGATAAGAAAGAGACAGCGAAGCCAGTGCCAATTAGTCTTGGTTCAGAAGAATCCGAAGACGTCAAAGCTTACTTAGAAGCACTTAAGGCAAGTATAAGAAAGGTAAAGGCGGAAGCACAAAAAGAACCTACTGCAGTATCCAGTGAGGAGAAAGACGACCAAAAGAAAAAGAATGTAAAGTCGTCTACACTTTTCAATACTCGTACCGATTATGATCTGACTGAATCTGACAGTCTTGTTACAAATACAGAGCAATCCAATGAAAGTAAAAATACAAGAAGGAAGACTGAAAAGGCAAAGGAATCCTTAAAAGGAAAAATTAACAAGAAAAGAATGGATAAGAAAAAACAGAAATCAATTATTGATAAGAAACTGATATTAGATTTACCCCCACCACCCCCACCGATAAAGTCAACTCAGGGAAAGAAAGAAAACAAAAAGAACGTACAGAAATTACGCGCAAATAAAGGAAATCAAGACTTGAAAGAAAACAATAAAAGAATGTTACCAAAAGTAAGTAACAAAAACAAGGGACTTGCTATTCCACTTAAAACAACTGGAGATATTGGTGATACTTACGTCAAGGATTATATAAATGCTTTAAAAGCTGCCCGGAAACAAAATCCTTTATCTATTGCAACAAATTCGAAGAAGATTTCCAAACCTATTGCAAAACATGCAAAAATCATTTCTGAAAATTCAAATAAAAAGGTGCACAAAAATGATACAACCAAGAAGCTTAAAGTTTCTAGTGAGTCCACTGATAGGTCAAAAAGCAGCAGCAGTTACAGTGAAAAGGAAAGTAGTTTAAGTGATTCAATTTCATCTGAAAATTTATCATCTGAAGATGAAGAAACACATAGAATACGAGATACAGAAAGTAAAAGGAAATCTGTAAAAGATAATAGATCGCCACCTTCTATTAATGTCGAAGAGAAGCAGAATATAAAGGAAAATAATCCGTCAAACACAGGTTCATCAGAAAAAATATCAGGCAATCCCATAAGTAATAAAAGTGACCAAAACATTGTAGAAAAATCATCTAATGCAGCGAAGGTGAAGGAAATTAAAAGTGACAAGATACAAAGGAAATCACCAGACAAACAAAAAGATAAAGACTTTAAAAACCAAAATAAAGAGGTTGTCACTAGCAGTGCTAATATTGAGAAAGAACTAGCTAAAATTCCTAATGTAACAAGTGAAAGTAAAGAAACGGAAGAAAAAGATAGTGAGGAAAATAAGAACCTGAAAGGTGAAGAAAAGAAATCGGACATTTCTGAAAGTAAACCAATTTTGACAAAAATTCAAAATGAGGAAAAACTCAAAAGAGAAAACCCTCCACGTATCACTCCCAGGAAAGTAAATCTTGAATCGAGAAAAGCTATTAAGAAAAACAAAGAACAAAGTACTGCAGACTTGCCTGCAGTTATTAATATAGACGTCCCACTAGTCAAAACGGAACGAAAAAAGACGATAGAAAACGATGATAAAAGTGAAGAGGAGGGTGAGGAAAAAGAAAGCAAGGAATTATCAATAGAACAGCCCGTTTTGACTACTACAACACAGTCCATGCTTAATAGACATGATGATACAGAATTACCAAATAAAACAAATAAGAAGGCTGGTGGAATTGTTATTCCAACTCAATCAAATATTATATTTGGCAGCATGACTGAAAATCCAAAGGACAAGGAGAGTGAAGAAGCTATTTCTAAGGAGTCGGACATAGTTATGGCTGCATCAACAAAGAATAAAGGATCTGTTGAAATTGATGATAAATCTATCCCCATATCAAAAAGTCGGAATGTTGATCTAAAAAGTGTCAAGATTGTATCAAAAAAGTCATTGGAAGAAAAAGATAAAGCGAAATCGAACAACCAAATCCAAACTACCATCTCTTTTTTGGAGAGTTCTAGCAACTCAGCGTCCAGTGAAATCCTACATTCGTCAATGCAGAGTGATGACGTCGATGATTCAGCCCCATTAACAGAGAACAGAGAGTCGGAGCCGGACGATGAAACTGGCAAATTAGTCATTGATATGACCGATAAAAATAAAACAGACTCATATTCCTCTGATGAAGAATCAAATGAAAATACATCTTCCCAAAGCGTTACATTAACACCAGATGTTGATGACTATGAAACCACGACTTCTTCTGAAGATGATTCAATCAAGGGATCAGGGGCAACTTTATCATTACCTTCCACTCTTTATGATATCACTAAAGTTAACAAAGCAAGATCTGATTCAAAGGACAGAGTAAAACAAGGCAGTGAGGATGTAAGTAGCAAATCATCAGAAAAAATGTCCGTTGATCATTTGTCAGTAGAAAGTACAGAATCTAATGAAATTGTTGAGTCTGTCGAAAAGCAATCATCGTACAGCAGCAAAGAAAATGATCTTCCAGTCAAGAGTGATTATCATATTGATAACAAACTTACTGAAGCAAGTGTCAACACAACGGATTTGCTGGGTGAAGATAACATAGATTCAAAGAAAGAACGTGTAGAAAATGTAGAAAATATCAGTAAATCATCGGAAGAAATCAGCAAAGATGATGAATCGAAAGAAATAGTCAGAACAACGATGCCATCAAGACCATCAAGTAAATTAATAAAGAATGATGTTAAAGATACCGATGAAGATGAAAGTGATGAAGATAAAGAAACTCATCAATCTACTACGTCATTGCCAGTAATAGAAGTAATTAATAATCAAAGTGGGGGAAATGATGAATTTGGTGTTGTTGAAGACTCTAGAGAAGATACATTTGATGTGCTTAGAGCAGGAACTATGCCTAAAAATGATAGCGGTGACAAAGGCACGGAAAGAAACAATGAAATAAGTAAATCAGCATTAAACAAGGACGAAAATGACAGTCCCGAAAACAAGGATTCTGATGTAGAAAATGTTGAAGATTTAAAGGATGTCAAAAGCACGTCAAAGGAGTCAGTAGAATCAAATGAGAACAGTAGCAACTTTCCCGGTAAATCAAATTCTGATGAAAGAAATGTGACTGAAGAGGATGATAGCAGTTCAAAGGAGTCTTTCAAACCAAATGAAGAAGAAAATAGTGATGGTAACATAAAACTATCATCTATTGTGGACAATGCCATACTTAAGTTGGATGATGATACAAGCACTTCAAGTGAGTCAAATGACGCATCTGAAGTAGAAACTGATGAAAGTTTCTCAAAATACCTCTCCAGTGTAAAAGATGACAAGAAAAATTCAATAACAGTAAATAGTATTTCAAAGGAATCATTAGATACATCTGAAGAGAAAAACGTTGACAATCTCAAGAAACACCCGAAAGATGTAGAAAATTATAATACAAATCTAGGAATAGATATAAGTTCTTCAGAGGAGTCAGAAGAGACATTTAAAGTACAATCTAATAATAATTCATCAGTTCTTACTTTCGATTTAAAAGATAGCAATAGAACTTTGAGTGATGATCCCAGTTTTTCACTAGAGTCAGTAGAAACATTGCAAGAGAACAACGATAGTCTTGAGAAATTCTCTAAAGATGTAGAAAATGACAATACAAATTTTAGAATTGAAATGAGTACTTCCGGACAGTCAGAAGAGACATTTAAAGTAAAATCTGATAACGATTCCTCAACATACACTTCAGATAAAAAAGACAGCAATGAAATACTGAACGATGATACTAGCTTTTCAGGAGAGTCAATAGAAACATCTGAAGATTCAGATAACAATAGTGATATACCTGCAAAACAATCTTTCAATGTAGAAAATAACAATGAAGATTTGAACTTCGATTCAAATATTTCGAAAGAGTCAGTCGAAAACCCTATAGAGAGCAAAGATGGTTCTATGACTTCACCTGATGATTTGGAAAATGTTTATAAAACATTTGACGAAATTTCTACCAATTCAAATGAGTCAGAAGAATATTCTAAAGAAAGCGAAGAAAATATTCCAATTAATGATGCAGAAAATATCACACATAATTTGAGCGTCAAAAATACCAAATCTAAAGAATCAACAGAGGAAAGTGAAGAGAGGAACAATGTCAACACTATTGAAGAAACAAATAAACATAAAATCTTAAACAATGAGACCACAGGGTCAATCGAGTCAGAAGAAACATCTGAAGAGGAATACAAGGAAAGTTTCACCGACGCAAAACTTGTTAATAAAAGTGCAATTGATGAATCAAGCATTTCAGAAGAATCAGCAGAGAATCTTGATAAAAAACAGGAAGACAGTCTTGAAAATTTTCCGTCAGATGTAGAAGAAATTATTGAAAATTTAAGCAAAGACAGTAGTAACTCCAACGAGTCAGGAGAGAAATCTGAAGAAGACACTGATGAAATTCCTGCCAAGTTATCCACCGATGTTAAAAAGGTGGCAAATGTGGGTGTGAAATCGAAAAGTTCGACGGATTCTTTAGAAAATACTCGAGATGCCAGCCCTACTGAGGAAGATGACATTGATTCTACACATTTTCGCAGTTCTGATGAAAATAAGTTGATAAGGAGTGGTTCCTATGAAATAAAAGATTATTTAGCAGAACAGTTTAAAAATTTCGAGGAGCCGCAGGACGATGAGGCTATGTACATGAAAGAGGTCAATCGTGATAAAATGGAAAGGGATAAAAACTATGAAAGAGATATTTCTCAGGAGATCCCGATTGTATTGGAAGCAATTAAAAATATAGACGATTCCCAAGAGCGAACAACTGTTATCCAGTCAGATGAGGCATTCAGGTCACTGTTTGAGAGGTTAAGCAACAAAACAAGAGACCTGATGGCGGAGGCAGCCTCTAAGGACGAAGTTCGTCATAGGGAAGATCAAGATCTAGATCTGGCAGGTATTCGTGGGGAGATTTCTGATGACATGGATATGGATCCTGAAGATATTCTGGCACAAGAAGCTGATTTGAGGGCAGAAGCAAATGTCAAAGGAGCTTTGCTTCCAAGTTATTCAAAGCCACAGACCATAACAAAAAAGATCGACATAAGTAAAGCGAACATGAAGCTGTCCAACTGTAATGCAAGGAGAACATCTTTGTGTTTCACATACCCAGTAACAGTCGAAAGCACAGGTATATCAGTATGTGAAAGTTTTGGAGAATAAATTGGTACATTGTCAAGACTAAATCTGTACATGTTTCAATTCAATGTATTCTTACTGAAAGAGAAGAGATGTAATTTTGTTTTCACTTCTATTCTTTTTCAATTAATTTTCTGTATCTTTTTAGCATCAAGCTGTGATTCGGGGTGGGTAGGTCATGTTTTTCATAGAAAGTGTTACCGAATCATGCGAAACGCCAACACAATACCAAAAATGCAATACAAGAATGCAAAAAATATTTGTGAAATGGAGGGAGGAGATGTTGCTCATATGACGGACGGATATGGTGGACGGTTCTTAATCATGACGCTTTTAAAAAGTATAAAGGAAAATACAAAAGAGCTGCCCCCAAAGGGTAAGAAAACTGCAAAAAAGAAAAAAAATATTACAGTGATATAAGTATTCGGAAACTAATTGATATTTTTTGTTAACTCCTACAGAGAATATTCCTCCAGTTTGGGTGTATAGTCCAACCAGCGATCCAAGTTGTCATGTAATGACACCCTCTGGTCCAATTGCTATGGGATGCAACCAAAGTATAGCAGTTGCAATCTGCGAGAAAAATGCTAATGATATAGGTATTGTAGCAAAATTTGTAAATTCAAACAGTACAACTTTAGCAAAATACTATTCCAATTTAATTCTTTTATCCACAAGAAAGGTTATCAAATTTCTTGGGCTTTGTAGGTGTACAAACCACAGGAAACTCTCATCCATCACTTGGAATCATGGAATTCACGTTAAATGATAAAAAGATATTGAAATGTGATTTGAAGAATTCTGCTGCTGAACTACCAATCCTGTGGTTTAAGGATGGCCGCCTTGTAGATATCAAAGTGAAGAAGCGAAAGGAGAGCATACTGCCCCATTTAGGTGGACGTCCGATTTCTCCTCTACCCGAACCGGGTACGTTGAACAAAATGATGAGATTGTTATTGGGACACGTATCTCATCGATGCAGTAGTAAATACGTAGACAGTTGAACTAAAATGACAAAAATTTTAGAGATTGTTTGAATAATCTTATTGAGTGTCGACAATTAAAAAGTACGTCTTCAGTTTATGAATAATTTCAAATCTTTTTATACTTTAATACTGTTTTTAAGAAAATGTTTATTTCAATTTAGCGGAGACGCCAATAACCAGTCTAGAATTAAACACTTGGTTGAGAAAGACGCTGCAGACGTCCACAGAACATCCAGTTTCTGAGGAAGTTTTTCAAGGAAACTACTGGTGTGAGGGGTGGACGTCCAGACCATTTGCCAGAATGAAGTCCGATGAAATCTTTGTCCGCTTCAAAGGTACAGGAATACAAATCCACATTGACGTAGGGTGGATACGAATACCTTTCCTCCTCTATTTTCCTCCTTTTTTACTTTCTTTGTTCTCTCTACTCCAACTCGCTATTTACTCTTATTTTCTACTCGAATTATATTCCTGGGTTTATCCCTTTATTTTCTTCCACTCCATACACCCTCCTTGTTATTACTGTTTTTCTTCTCTTTCCTCTCTTTTGACAGTATCAGACATTTGAATTGTTTTGCCTCTGTATAGATTCTTTCATTAAAAAAAACCCCTTTTCTTAACCAATTTTGTCAGAGAGATTTTTTTGTGGTCAGCTGAAGAAATATACTTTTAAAAGATTTTCCAGGCATAAAATTATCTCGGTATGTTTTCCATTTTCTCCTTTGGCGCTTCAAGCTAGGATTTTTGTCTAATTAAAGTTTGATAACTTTTTCTGAGGGGTTTTTCATGAAACAGTAGTTGACAGTTAAACATTTAGGAATGAAATATTACATTGGGTGTGCAATCATCAGTAGTCCGGTTGCAGGAAGTGATTGTAAAAAAAAAAGTGAAATTTTCAACTTCAAATTGACATTTTATTTGAAAGAGGAAATCAATGTTTAAATTGTTTAAAACTGTTTAAGAGTCATGACTGAAAAATAACTGCATAATAACAATCCTAAAATTTGCAATTTGTACAAAAAGTTTGAAAGGTGAAATGAAACATCTTTTAATATCACGTATACACAAATCCATTTAGTGTTTTATTTCTGAGAATAAGGAAAGGTGACCTTTTTACTCTTTAAGATTATTTTCCTTCTTTTATTGCATGTAAGAAGGTTCATGTATCTTCTATAGTTACAAAGTATTGTAGTAAGCCCAGACACTTATTTTTACCTATAAATTCTGATGATACTTTCATTCATTTTTCAGATGTGATAACGTTTGTTGGAAGAGTCAGACTTCCAGCGATTCCGTACGATGAACGACTTCTCCATAACAAGATTGAGAAGAACTTGCCTCCAATCATGAATATCATGACAGACCTCAGATTTATCAACGAGATTGTGTTCCGCAAACTTCAACAAGAGTTTCCTAACCTGGAGAGTATCTCCGCTTTCCCAGGGGAAATATCGAGGTATAAGCTTGTAACATAAAAAAAAAATTCTCTTATTTCAGCAAACAGTACGGCAATCCTTTTACCACAGAAATAGCTTCTAATCGTGTCTTCTTTACATTATGTTTTTGTTGTTGTTGAAAATTCATTTTTTAACAACATATAGAAAATTTTAGTTGTTATTGAAAAGTATAAAAAGGCACAACTAAATGATTATTATCATGTCACATATACATGTATGACCTTATTATTTGTTTCCTTGTAGCAAACCACCTCTACAATTATCATACAATATTTACATAAGAGCCTCTAAAAACTACACGATTGCAGACGAAATACCTCTGTTTAAGAGCCTGCGCAGCCGATATCAAGAAATATTAATGGATGGCAACATTTTGACTCGACTTCCTAGAGGCACCCCTATTCGTTTTATTCGTTCTATCAGGATTAGAAGTACAGGTATGACTATAAATTTATTCTTAATTTTTCTGAACACTTTTTTTCAATAAAATGTAACTACACCAAACAGTAATCATGCTGAAAAGTGCAATTAATCAATTCAAATTGTGAAGAAAGCAAAGACATACCTCTAAAAACAGAGGTGAAATGAGGTGCCATGGAAGAGTGATCATCCCCTGTCGACCAATCAATCCGCAGGGTACTCTTTGTCATGATCGTAGAAAAATATTAAATATTTCATAAAACATGTCTGAATAATTTCTGAACTGCCCTTGTATATAAAAGTTGTATTATAAATGGTAATCTCTATTTTAATTGCACTGTAGTTTCCTGTCAACAAACAGAGCTAAGGGACCCCAGAACAAGGCTGGTGGCGAATTTTTTCCCGGCGGGAATCAAACTAAATGTTTCTAGCATTGAAGTTTGTGGTAAGTTTTGAATTAATTTGAAATTTATCTAAAATCCCATAGCTAATATTTGATTATATGTAAAGTAAACTGCAAGAAGCTGCAGTTATTAATTAAAGTCTTATCTTCAAATGTACAGTTTATTGAATTTTTCATGTTTAATAATCAACAGAGAATGGTGAAAAAGCTGGAAAGGCTACTTGTAAAGGAGATTTCCGAAGTGGTGCGTATTGGGGTAATATTAGAATAAAACAGGGGTGTGGAATATCAGAAACACACACGGAAGAGGATACAAATGACGAGTCCAATGATGTGACGGACAGCGAAGAAGCTGTGGAGGAGTATGAGAACTTGGTTCAGAAAATGACACCCGAGGAGAGATTAAAGGAACTTGCAGAGGTATGTGTTAGGATGAATAGGAGTAAGGTGTTACTTCATATACTTCTTTTTAAAGATTCATAAAACACATTATAAGAGAGATAACTCTTATTGGTATTAATTGCTTTTATTCCTTTGAAAAGTTTTCAAGTTAAAGGATGATTTCTGTCAAATTAAGCAAAGAAAGCTATGTTGAACTTGAGTGTAAGTTTTGGAAGATGATCAGCGATAAGCCGGAATGTTATTTGCGTGATCTATAAGACAAAGAATCTTACACTAATTTTTATATCCTTTCATATTGTACACAAACTTGAATGTGAAATTGCAGATGGACATAGAGGAAAACAATTTGGAGAGCATTATAGAAGAAACAGCTGAAATCACAGACACGGTTGAAGAAATAAAGGAGAACGATCTAGAATACATTAATGAAATCATGGAAAAATCAGCCATCAGTGAAGGCAAAACAAAATTTGTACGTCTCATTTTTCTTACCAAAAAACGTATACTAACATGTTTGTTAACAAGGGCACTCCTAAATGTGGAAACCTCATATGAAATAAGTTTCAAAAGATAAAGAATTAGGAATGTGAGGTAGACATTTTGACACAGAGTTTGATGTTTTTCAGGTGGCTTTAAAAGCTATACAGACTGTGAATAGGTTGTTAATGATGGATGACGATGTTTTTGAAAAAGCAAAGAGAGTCAGCAGGTCAGTAAATCATTTCTGCTTCCTCTTTCATTGACATTAACACTGGTGGTACAACAAAAATTATTTTTATAAAAACTTTGTAGCATTATCAAGAACTTCGAAAGGATAGTCGAAGATACGGAATTAAGCGACGATGGCTACTTCCGGTTGGTTCTCCCTAATGTTGCTATGGAGATATATGAACTGGAAAAACAAAGCAAGCCAGTAATTGGTATGGCTGCTAAAACAGATGAACATGGGAATGTAATGTACACACCATTTGACCAAAAGAGAATTGTAACAATTTATAATGATTCTGCTTTCTATGAAGATGTTGATGTGGCAATACATTTACCACCGGAACTGGTACATGACACAAAAGCAGGTAACCTCATTTCTCAAAAAGTATTGTTTAGTGAACTTTATTGTGTTTATATAAAAGTTTCACTGTTTTAACATGTTCAACTTTTAGACATTATTTAACTAAACAGTACCACAGCTACCTGGCTTATGAAATAGAAGGTATAAGTTTTGCATTAAAAACCGATATATTTCAATTCAGAAAACAAGTCAAGACTGTACATGATGGTATATAGAGATGGGAACATGTTCCAAGATTCCTCAGTCCCCATAAGTGTTGCTGAAGCACCCAGAGTCATCAAAAGTCATGATCTTAAAAGACTGAATAGTTTTGTTATCTCTGCAAGCATTGGGGGAAAGAAAATCGAAGGACTCCAGCAAAAAGTCAAAACAATATTCCGACCGTTAAAGGTAATTTTCTACACAAAATTATCTTTTTTGCACTCTCCATAGGTGTAACTTTCAAAGGTAAATCACACTTTTTTCCATGAAAACTTACCAAGGAAATCATCAATAAGTTATATTTGTTTTCCTTTGAATTAATTAAAATTATCCTTTAATTACAGGATCCTGCTGGACGCGCTCGCACATGCGCTTTCTACAATTTCACAATGAACAACAATGCAGGCGGTTGGTCATCTGCTGGCTGTGTTTATGACGGTCAGGTTAACGGACGTGATGTCTGCCTGTGTGATCACTTGACAAACTTTGCAGTCCTAGTCGTAAGTTAACAAGAAGCATCCGCTACCAATTATCAAACAAGATATCAAGGAGCTAATTTTAGTCCCATTTCTCTCAAAATATATGCTCTAAATTGTACATCTCTATACGTCATTTCACTCTAGTACAGCTATATAAGATGCAACAACTTTATATTGTTCTGATGGAGGAATCTTACTATTATTGACATTATTATTGTAATAGGAAAGGATTTCAGATCAATGATAAGATTAAAATAAATCAATTGTTATATAGGATTTCTATGGACAAGATGACCGTGTGGATCGTGTACATGAGGTGTCCCTGTCCATCATCTCTCTGATTGGTCTGAGTCTCTCCATCATAGGACTGTCTCTCACAATCATCTCCTTCGTCTTTTTCAGGTTATAATTCATTTTGAAACTCTATGTAAATGAACTTTTTTTGTGATATATGATATATAATTGCATTCTTTAAGAAATAACCGAGAATTTGTGGTAAGCAGTTTAATAAAAATTTGATGCAACAAATATTTATATTACTTCTTTCCTAATATAATTAGTTAAGTTCGTAAGTTATCATATAGTTTATTTTGATCACTACTTTGTAAGAGATAACATTAGTGACATAAATATTCATTTATACCTTTTATCACACAGGAAGTTACGTAAAGGTCGTGCCCAGCAGACGCTGTTTAACCTCGCTTTGTCAATGCTATGTTCCTGGGTGATCTTCTTGGTGGGAATCAAACAGACGTATCATTTCATTGGCTGTTTAATCGTGGCAGTCCTCCTCCATTATTTCATTTTGGCGTCCTTTATGTGGATGTTAATGGAGGCGTTCCTTCAGTATCTAACGTTTGTCAAAGTCCTTGGTACCTATGTTACGCGTTACACCCTGAAGTCAGTGATTGCCGCATGGGGTAAGTTTGGACTGTAAATCTAGTGTACATGCATCTTCAACTTGATAAATTTCAATTTATAAAAGGCTAATCTGAATCAAATTTGCCAATTTAAAAAATGTGCAATATCATATGCATTGAGATAACGTTTGTCTAAGATTGCACATAATATAATTTATTGCAATTTATCATTATTGTTATTTTTACACTCTGATTTTTTACAGGACTACCATTAATTCCTGTTATTTGCATTCTGAGTATAGACCACAATCTGTATAAAGGGGGCGATCATTAGTAGGTTTTTATTCGGGTGTTGGGAGTTAATGGTGTTGGGGTGCCTTGAATTAATATTAACTTTACCATAAATGCAGACCATCGTATAGTAGAACACGCTTATAGTAAATTTATAGTTACTGCGAAGTTTTTCTCATTCTGCGTTGCGTTTGAAACGTATTGTGAACTTAATGCGTATTATGAATATGTTGATAACAACGTAAAATTGATCGTCCTTAGTATTTCGCTATAAGCGTGTTTTACAATACGTTGAGTTTTAAGATAACAATGTTTGTTCATTTAAAAGAATACAGTGGTAGTATCTTAGCTCCCTAGATGATATCTGCAACAAAGAAAACAGGAAATTTTGTGTACTAGTAATATTAGGTTATAACCAAATGTAACAGTACAGTACATAATTGGCAGCATGTCAAATATATAATTTCAGAATACATAGAACCAGAAAAAATCATGTTAATACTTCCTTTAAATATTATAAATCTAAATTTTATTTACAGCTGTTGGATGTCACTAGACGCTTTCTACTACGGCTTTGCTCTTCCTATCGGGCTCATCATTCTGGCCAACCTCATTGTATTTATTATCACTGTGGTCAGCATTTTCCGGAGACCACAGGGATTACGCAGTAACCAGTCCAAACACAAGATGGCGATTACAAATTTACAAGCCGCCATCACGAGCTTTGTACTTCTAGGTAAAGAAGCAGATGAATTTCATGTTCCTCGGTAACATTTGGAACAAATTTCAATTTCAAAATATATGTAACAGTTTATGTTGATCGATTGATTGTTTGTATACTGTTTAATGCCGAGTCGACAGTATTTTATCCATTTTTCGACGGTAAAATTTATTTCCTTTGACCAGATTTAAAAGTGTGGGTTTCTCTGGTGGGCAACAGTACGCCTACCCTTTTTTGAAACCAGAATATTGTCTTTCGATGAAAAGTCATTTTTTACTCTTTTCTTTGTATCACAAAAACAGTTACATGTAGAGCAATATTATCCACTTACCTAAACAAATCTAAAACTTTATCTTCATAGGACTGTCTTGGATTTTGGGATACTTTGCAATATCAGACGCCAGATTACCATTCCAGTATGCCTTCACAATATTAAACTCACTACAAGGTTTCTTCATTTTTGTTCTATTTGTGGCACGAAAGAAGCAGGTGCGTGAACAATGGAAGATGATTTGCTGCTGCATCTTCCCGGATCAACAGAAGGCACAGCGCACCCTATCGGCGTCTGCCTCCTACCCCAGTACCTGCAGCAGCAGAAGTACATCGAGTACTTCAACCCTTCATCACGGGCGCACTGAGCGTTCAGACAGCTGTAAAACTACCACCAGCTTCATTGGCTCTGAGTATGACTCAATTTACACTGTTCCGTACGCTCGCTCGTCACGTGATTCACTGTATTATAGAAAATTGTGATATTCTTTGTATTTATTTTGTTGTCTCATCCTTGCTCATGTTTATGTTTGATGTCTCCCTGAATTTCCAATTCTTTTCAAAGTTTTTTTTTTTTTTTTTTTTTTTTTTTTTTTTTTTGCAACATTAATTGTCCCTTACTTAATGCATCAATATCACATCAGATCATTATAAAGCTAAAATCATTGAAAGACATTCCAAATATTGGATACTCAGAACAGGGATAGGGTAAAAAGGTTTTATTTTATGAAGCATGTTCCTTTCATTCTTATTAAAACTTCTTGATATTTCTCTTAGCTTATGGGAAGATCTTCTTGATGTTATAACGTCGTCTGGAGCAGACAATATTATTATGTCTATAGGTTTTGTCGTAACTTAAATGTTTGGTAGATAGATATTTATGTTGCGTTATATAGTGCTCGTATAACTTATTAACTGGATAATTTTTAATGTCATTTCTCATTGTCTCAATATGCCACTGCCATAGATTACAAACTGTCTTTTAGTTCCTGTATGTTTTATTTGCATGTAGAAATGCATGTGCCATCATTCAGTTGACATATTTGAAATAAACATATAAAAATTTAATTTTGTTTTTTGTATTCAATCACATCAGAAAATCTTGATTCTCATAGCTATCTGACTAATTTTTATGTTCTCAAAAATATTTCAGTGTTTAATACCTGTACATAAATGAAATGAATGTGAAAATTTCAAGTGTTTTACCGAGTGCAAAATCGATGTATTCATTTATAAACATTGGATACACTTTTGTTGCAGAATCTAGGACTTTGGAAATGTTTGTTTAATGACTTTGCCTACTAATCTTAACTATTCACTTGAAGGGCAATTTAGAATATATTTTAAAGTTCTATGAACACATTTCACCCTTATTGTTACCCTGCCCTGGCCTTTGGGATCATGACTCAATACAAGTTGAGTGCCCAATGCATGAGAGTGGTCTAAGGCTAACCCTAGGAGCAAAGATATGACATTGAAGCTCAACTCAACACAACATACAGATTCTAGAGATATCTGCTGTTAACTCAATGATGTTTAAAGATTTTCACAAACATTCCCATTCAAAACGTAAGTAATTTTCTACGAACCCAGCCTTACTCAAGGAAACTTTAACTGAGGTAATTTGAACCAACACAACAATATGTAGCAATATACCATTATTAAAGGAGCATACGGTGGGAGTGACCGGTCGGTAGGGGATACTCACTCCTCCATGGCACCGGACCCCAACTCTGATGTTTTAGAGGTTCGTGTTTGTTCTGCTCCTTGTTTGCTATTGTTTGAATGACTTTGGAGCTTGAATACTGTTCGTTATCTCCATATTTCATTTCTGCCTATGTAGTTTATGTCTCCTAGTTGATTCGATACACAAGAACATGCTTTACGTACGAACAATTTCTAAAACGGGGTAAACTGTTGACAAATAAATTGATGAAACAAGGAGGTGAATAGTTTCTTTTAGAGTCAACATTTCGCAAATTCTATAGATGATACAATGAACACATCAGCAAATACAATCTATCATTAAGTCTAAAGTTGACTGACGTTTTTCATGCATAATTGTTAGACCATTATTTTCACACTAAATTTTCTATAGGTTTTTCCGTTAAACCCGATCATGATAAGGAGCACACGGCGGGTGTGACCGGTCGACGGATTACTCTTCCATGGTACCTGATCCCACCTCTGGTTTTTTAGAGGTTGGTATTAGCTCTGTCTAAATTTACATTGTATATTGTTTCAATGGACCTTTGAGCTTGATTACTGTTCGTTATCTTCCTATTTCATTAGAATTCTTGCCTATTAAGGTCTGCGAACCATAGTATATTTTTTCTCTACCTACCTACGTGTCAATTTCCAAGTATTATGTATCTATAAATTATTACATGATTATTCATTATTTGGATTATTTGCAAAAGAAACAAATAAAACTCTTTATGTTTGCTAAAATCTACGCATTTAACTATAGAAATCAGTGGAAAAAGGAAAATATTTAATGAATCCCAGGTGAAACAAAAAATCCTGCTTATAGATATTACATACTTTATATTACATCAAGGCTTTTGTTATTTTCACAGGCGTAGTGTATAGATATAGACAAAAGTATAGAAATAATTCTACATGGGACTATAATTATATGTAAAAATCTGTAAAAAAAAAAAAATTCCAATATTTTCCCGAGTAGTCCAAGATACGAGTTTGGACCAGTCGATGATATGTTGGACTGCTAGAGGTTTTCTGTGCTACGCAGGCGAATCGAGCTAACGTATTTTTATTTCCTGATGATTTGTTTAAGTTAAATTTGCAGTGTGGGTAAACGAAGATTACAATGAAGTTTTGTCACATGCAAAGGCAATATGACGAATCCTCTTATAATGCTAATAAATACAACTGGATTGACCGTCCTTCATATAAATTATAACAGTGTGTTCAGTTTTCAAGTATCAAAATCTTATCAGAAAAATAATAAGCTTGAAAATAAAAGGAAAAATGTATCATTATGTGAAAGTTAATTAGCTCCTGACTGTTACAATTTTATATTAGACACTTTGATCATTTATTCCATTTCTGAAGACACACAGTCCTAATGGATCTGTTTTTAAAGAAAATATTCCCAATTCTATAGTTATTATAATTTACTTCTGTTATCTTTAATTTACTATAACACTTTAATATTTTGTTTGACTATTAAACTTTACTCTGGAGCACTTCTGGAGAATAAGAGCTTAATAATCTTTCAATTACCATACCAATGATATTAATTTCCAGATAACATTTGAATATACAAGTAAGATTTCCTTTTAATAAAAAAATTTAAATTAATAAATGACACGGGCATTGCCTACTGGTTTTAGCGTTTTTCTAGAGTCACAGTGTATGGAGTTGATCCTTACCATGCGGGTTCGAATCCACTGCGGGACGGTTCTTCGAATGAGACCTTATAAACCGAGGTCCCGTGTCGTCGTAGGTGCTTGCACGAAAAAGATCTCTCACTGATCAATGACCCTGAGTGCCGAGTATAAGTAAAAAATGTGCAGCCCTCCACCGACAAGTGTTGGCGTCTCCATATGAGTGAAAAATTCTCGAGATGTATGTTAAACAACAAACAAACAAACAATGTAAGAATCTGAGAAAATGAAATAAAACAATCTTAAGACCGCGGAACATTAACTGGCAAAATTGGAAATATGCAGCTTACGTCATTTCCATCTGTTACAGTGAAAAGGTTTAATGATAGACAATGAAATGGGCGGGTACAATTCGACACGGACGTCCGACAAAACATTAAGTTAATTACCTTTTTTGACATAAATCCTTAAAACATATTATTGGTTTTGAAATTCTCATTTGAGTTGTCTACATATTCAATTGAAGAGAAAAGGGTGGGGTGGTGGTCATAAATTAAATAAAAAGATAAAGCAAATATAAAATGAAGACACATTTTACCTCAATTTTCTTTGGAAGAAGAATTTGATTGCATTTAAGGAACACCAATGCAAGTATTGTGTATTAGTCCGGCAGTAATAAAAACATTTACACCAGAATGAAAAAAACCCTCTTTGTCATTAAAGTGGACACTTTCATGGGATATGGTATGGCTTGTGTGGGAAGAAATACGACAATATTTAGGTATTTTCATTTTATAAGAAAAGGACTACCTGTGTAGTATGAAGTCATTTAAATTGTTTCTATGACGTAATCAGTTTTATATCTTGATCTATCAAGTCTTCAATGATCAGTTATTGATCTTTAAAAGCAGGTTACAAATTTACCTATATATTACTACAGCCCTAAAATTATCTTATGCAGGGTTAAATGTGCAGTGGTTTTGGTAGCTCTTGGCAGCTACATAAAGCATATCAAAACTCGCTGAATGCTAACCATATCTCCTAAAGTACAGTTTCATTTAATTTAGTCAAGATTTATTTTTATATCTATACGTATTTGATTTTAATACCATTAGTAACTTCCGCAATTAGTTAAACTCTAATTGCCTAAGAAAGTAATTATTGAGGAATTTCCTAAAATTAGATGAATTAATTAATAGGCCATTATTTACTCACTAAATTGTCCATATGCTCGATAGTGACAAGGAGCATACGGCGGGTGTGACAAGTCGACAGGTCACCTGACCCCACCTTTGATGCTATTAGAGGTCCGTGTTTGCTCTGCTTCCAATTTGTATTGTTACAATGGACTTATGAGCTTGAGTACTGTTCGATATCTCTATTTATATTTCATGTCTTACATTTATCAATTCCATCCTCTCTACCTTTCACCTATCTACAGTGCCTTGTTTATATACGTTGATGTTTCAATTATTAGACCAGCCTATGACCTGCCTATGACTAGGGAATGATGGTTCAATTAAAAAATTACGTGACCATAGTTATTCATCTGATTAAAACAAGGATTTCCACACACCTTTCCAAACATATTATTTAATTTCTTGCTTCATTATTTCCGTAATTTGACTTTTTTCAACACGACAAAATAAATTATAGGTATATTTATTTTTAAAATTATTAATCGTTTCATTGGTTTTATGAAAATATAAACTTTTAATAATTTGCCACAAGAGGTTCTTCTTAAAACGAAGAATGTCCACGGAATATAAACATTCTTACTGGCACTGAAACGTTTTTCTTAAACTATCATTAAGTAGTACAAACATTTATATTTTAATGTGATTTAATGAAAAATACCAATAATTTTAATACCGACGTTTATACTGACACTTATATAATATTGAAATCACTTTGGTACGATTGAGACGCACACTTTTCTGACACAATATATTTGTGTATATACAAAAATATGCAAAAACACAAATTATTTATGACTGTTATTTTCCTTTTTTTTGGGGGGGGGGGGGTTAATATAAATAATTTTAAGGAAAATCTCAATCAAAAACCAAGTTTACAAAACAAACACCTGCTGAAAAGAAGCTATGAATATTTAGATGGGTGAAACCACTTGACTTTCAAAAGCTTGAAATAGGTTATGAGGAGAAATTGAATTAAAGATAATTATTTATCTCGAAAAACAAAGAAAATTATTTTCTTTTACCGTAACAATCGAAAAAAGCGACTTTTAAGTGGTATATAGATTTGTTTTATCATTAGATATTACAGACGTCACATATAGTGTCTATTAATTACACCTTTGTGAACCTTAATATGCATTCCTGCTTTAAATAACAAACCACGCCTCTCTGAAGCAACAGGATAAACAAGTTTCATAAAACAATTCCCTGTGATCCATAATTTATTACTTCGGAATTAAGAAAGAACTTTCTCCCGTGCGCTGTATGCGTCGTCTATAGATGCAAATTCCAACAATTACACCGATGACAACGACGATTCCCACTAAAACACCTATGATTACTCCTAGATTGGAAGTCCTTCAAATTAACAAAATTAATACAGAATATCAAACTCACGCGTACTTTCAATAAAAGTACCATAACAGACACAAAAGTGAATACATAAATCCGCTTTTAAAAAGTAAATAGAAAGAAGTATTAAAGACGTACTTACTCCTGACAGTAATACTTTTGGTAGTAGAACCCATGTGCATCTGTTCCATTTTGGTAGTAACATCGCCCATCAGTATCTATTATTAAAACAGAAATCTCCAAGGAGTGATGGGCAATAGAGTTAATGCTTTATAACATTTTCCTACATTATTAATTATCTAGCTGATTTAAAAATAGAACAAAATCCATTTATCAAAATTTGAGTTTGAATTTTAAAATTGTTTACATAGTTTAACACCAACCTTTTATCTGCAAAGAAATAACAGTTACTATTAGCAGGAAGTAGCTATCCATGTAGCAGTCATGAACAATCTGTAAAGATACATAGATGAACTTTATCTTTCATAAGCTACAGGTATAATGAGTAAAAATCATTTCCGGAGGAATTTTTATCAAGTTTCTTAGGCCAATCCTCTTCAAACATGAATTTGAATAAAAATGTTTTTTATAAAAAGTGAAAGAAAAGAAACAATATATAGTATATTAAAGACAAATATTACCTCGATCTTCTTTGAAGGAAATAGTTTTATTGCATTAAACGATCAACGAAACACGAAATGTCATTATCACTGTATACATCAATACTTCCTTTATAACGGATTTAAAAATACACTTGAAAAGCATTAATCGTTGTCGATTAAGTGGAAATTCCATTTATAAGGAAATGACTAAATTCCAGGGCGGTAATAAGGAAGAAAAAGCGTGAAGGCAATCAAAATGAAAAAAAAAAAAAATATATTTCTTACCTTGGTGCAATGACGATTGAAATTTAATTGTTTATTTTGTAAAGTTCAAAGTCTTCTATCATCACCTACTGTCCCCGAAATCCTTCTTATAAATAAATATCACCTTAAGTGTTGTATTATCTCATTCATGATTGTAGTCTCATGCGGTATCTTGATCAAAGTACTGAAAACACTCAGAAACGCTAAACAATGAATGTTCTTAAGTAGATACATGTCAATTTTAAAAATTCTTGATATATCGAAGACATATGGTGCAGTACTAATTGACTTTACTCGAAGTATAAAATTAACAAGGAAAGGCCACCGACAGACAGACAGATTATTGTGGCCTTTCAGTTATTTTTCTGTTTTTTCTTTTACTATATAAGCTGCTTATATTTTAATTAAGCAATTTTTATTATATCCGTTAGATATATATATATATATATATATATATATATATATATATATATATATATATATATATATATATATATATATATATATATATATATATATATATATAGGTATATGAGGTTGTTTGTGGGCACCGACCTTCTAAACAGGTTTGTGGGATCTCGCATTTCTACATTGCATAGCTATGTCATATTCATGATTTAAGCGTTATATATGGTCCTTATATAATATATAATATAATTTTTGAGATAAGATTAAAAATGTTGTATATAATTGTGGGTCATTATATTCATATATATATATATATAGAGAGCATTGTGGGATAAAGTATATACATCGCACAATGCTCTATTTACGAGTATTATGACCCACAATATTATCACATGCTATATATATCATGTGCTGCATTTCACAATGTAAGACATAAGAATTAATGTTTGATATAAATAATATATATATATATATATATATATATATATATATATATATATATATATATATATATATATATATATATATATATATATATATATGATTAATAAAAAAACAAATGATTAAAAGTAAAACAAGAGGCCCAAGGGCCTTAACAGTCACCTGAGTATATTGATTGATTTAATTTAATTTTTTTTTTTAAATTGTTTTATTCCACACAACATACATAACATTATATACATGTAAAAAGTTTCAGAAACAGAGGTGTGTTTTTATTTGATGAGAGAGAGAGAGAGAGAGAGAGAGAGAGAGAGAGAGAGAGAGAGAGGAGGGTTAGAGTTAAGGAAATAGTAGGTTCCACCTGTTCTACTGGGTATCGAACTTTTCCTTTCCACCATTGTTATAAGAAATAATTTTTTGTGTTTCATAATGAAATTTCATTTGTGATATTGCAACGTGTACATTAAAGGTTTCTGGGTGCATCTTGCAGTATAAATATAATATTTAAGCCAAGGAAGAATAGCATTTTGAATATCAGTGTTTTCATCAATAAACCCTAAAATAAAAGATTTCATAGTAACTCTAATCTTCAGACCAGTCTTATCTTCAAGCAAATGAACAAATTCTTCTAGAAACGTTTGCATATTATTGCATTCCCGTAAAAGGTGTTCTGTTGTTTCCTTCTCGGTGTGGCAAATACTGCAGAACTTACAGTCATTTTCTTAATTTTGAATAAGAATGAATTTGTTGTTAAGATTTTATTTATAATCCTATACTGAAACCATTGGAGTCTACAGTCTTTTGTTACTCTGAAGGGTATTACTGTAGATTCCTTATTTTTCGCGAGTACTTATTATCGCGAAATGGCTCTTTGACGTCAAATGGCGAGAACAATAATTCGCGATAGGACGGTTAATCAAAGGATTTTACATTAATTTCAGCACCATAAAAATAAAAGCGAGAAATTTTATTTCGCGAGTGGTGCTTCTCGCGTAATTACGCGATAATTTATTCCTCGCGTATATTTAGGAATCTACAATATATGAATTTTTTTCCATACCTTAATTCCAACTTCTAGAAGCTCACTCTAATGTGTTTTACCTGCTGCAACAGAAGAATTTTGATTAAGAATTTCATAATAGCATTTAGATTTTTTTTTTTTTACATTTCATTAGTGTATAGATATTTGACATAATTAATGGATTAGTGAGCTTTTTTATTGTTTTTTCCTGACCAGAAATTTTCATCCAAGCCTTTATAGCATGAATAATACTATGAGTTGAATTATTGAATTCCATATACTAGTAAACGAGAAAAAGATTTTTTCCAATTCCTTACAATACATGTACAGTTAGAAGGATTTGGGATTGACAGTATAATATGATTTAATAAAGGTAAAACTAGTGTTTTAATGACTGTAATTTTCCCTATGGGAGTTACATATCTTTTCTCCCATTGTTTAAGTATTTATTTAATATGTATTAATTTTGGTTCATAATTCAATTGTGGTTCCTTATCCAATTTTAGAGTATATTGATTGATTGGTTGTATGTTGTTTTAGTCCATTTGAGAATTTTTCACTCATATAAAAGCGTCACCCTATACCGGTGAAGGGCTTCAAATTTGGACCTTTACTCGGCACTCAGGGCCATTGAGTAGTGAGGGATCTTTATCGTGCCAAATCCTGCCTTGACACGGGGCCTCGGTTTTTAAGGTCTCATCCGAAGGACCTGCGACTTTCACTTCAAAGTGCTGAGCGCCTGTCGAAGGAACAGTTGCTACCTATTTTTTTTTATCAGTTTAGGTCAGTCGCGGCCGAGATTCGAACTCACGGCCTTCTGATCAGGAGCAAGCACTCTACCGACTGAGCTACCGTAACGGCATACCTGGAAAAAAGTATTTAAAAGAAAGAAGAAAAAGAAATCATTGTTTTTACCATTGAAAATATTAAAACAACCAAACCAAAAACACAGAAACAATTTCCTTTGTGTCACAGATTTCAGTTGTTAGGAGTATATTAATCTTGTTTTTTTTTTTCTTAAAACGTTACATTTTGAGCATATCTTAAGACCATTGGTCGAAATATTTTTAAATTCTAAATTCTAAATACATTTTCAACTTCAATAGGCTTTATTTCATATCAATACTTCAACCAAACAAAAGGAGTTTGTAAATGTTATGAAATCGTTGTACAAAATAAAAAAACAAATTAAGTAAATATGTATAACGTAACGTGTACACTGCGATCCAAATCAGCAAAGCGCTTTAAACAGACATGGAATAAAATTGAAAGCAAGAACGAGAAGTTAGGACTAATAATTAAAGGGTTATTTCATGCAAGTTTCAGTCATTTTATTTGATTCGGGAATGCTCACTCCTCCATGGCACCTGATCCTACCTCTTATGTTTTCGAGGTCTGTATTTGCTCTGCTCCAAACTTTGTATTGTTTAATGGACTTTTGAGCTTGAATTTGTTCGTTATCTCCATATATTTCATTTCATGATTTAACATGTGTGAACTACTCCATTGTCATCACCACCACATAAGGCACCATATCAGTTCTACTGTCATTGCAGATTGAAGCGACTTGAATGTGTTATGATAGCCACTTGTTAACTGTCGAGGAAATTGGAGGTGTGAGAAAACACGTATTATGTAACTATAATATCTTGTAGATACTAATGTTGCTTGTGCGGATTCTAGGGCAGGTTGGTGATAGACCAATACTCGCATCATCAGATGAACTGTAAAAACACAGCAAGCTAGTAACTGGTATGGCTGCTAAAACAGACAAACAAGGGATTTACTGTACACACCATTCGACCAAAAAAAAAAGGAAGAATTGTAACAATTTACAGAGATTCTGCTTTCTATGGAGATGAAAATGTGGCAATACATCTAGCACTAGAATTAATACATGACCTCATGTAACATCATTTCTTTAAAAAATTGTTTGAAGAAATTTGTGTTTATATAAAAGTTTAATTATCTTAACGTGTTCAACCTTTAGACCATCTTCGCTAGCCAAGGGTTTCTGATACGCTACTCTCCTCATAAGCCCTTGGCATACGGTGTTAAAAAAAAATTGGGATTTTTTTCTCAAGTTGTGATTGGAGTTGATCGACATCGTTCGACCAATCAGCAATTGTTTTTTGTGAATGACGATATTTGGGTTCGGGATGTATCTTGACTCTTTAATATCGGTAATGTAAAACGCAGGTAAACAATGATCCGTAAGATAACATGCCATTCTATAAATAGCTATATGGTGTCATCCAATATCTAAAGCTACGTGCAAAATATGTGCTTAAGAATCTATACTGAAGATGTAGATTTGCATTTTTATATGTTTAAATAACAAAATAACGTAACTCGATACCTTCTTGTTAATTATTCTTTAAAAACAATTTTTTTTTTAAATACGCTTTTTATTTCTATCGATGACGCAATCTGTGCGTGCCTGGTAAGAATTATGATCACGTGACAAAAACAATCCCGTCTTTTATCAGCACCGTATGCCAAGGGTTTATGAGGAGAGTAGCGTATCAGAAACCCTTGGCTAGCGAAGATGTTTCCCCCCATATCTACGTACACACACTTTCTTATTATCGACCCAAACATTTGAACTATAGTGCTCTTTAATGCATTTTAATTTGTTAGCCCAATAGCAGGATACAAGGGAATCTTGCTTACTTTCAATGACGCGGTTAACAATCTATCAGGACTATGCAATAAAGTAATAACTTCATGTTACGTTTTAAATATTGATGTTTATGAGGAGAGTAGCGTATCAGAAACCCTTGGCTAGCGAAGATGCCTTTAGACATTTCTACTTACCTTTACTAACATTTTAAGTCAGTTTCTAGTAGCCAGCTACTAGTAGCTAGATTTACTGGCATATCGTAGCCAGCAACTAGCAGCTAGCTTAACTCACATTTAAAGTTTCTAGTAGCCAGCTACATGCACTAGTAGCTAGCTTTACTCACAT